TCCTCTTACCCGCTCTTGCTGGGCCTCCCTCAGCTCTTCCAGGAAATCTCGCAGCACGTTCTGAACCACTTCCGGGTCAATGTCTGCCACCAGTTGCCCGGCCAGGCTGGGAGAAGGGGGGCGCTCCGGTGAGAGGGGGAGGGAGAGTGGGCCGCTGGCCAGTGAGGCAGAGCTGCCGTTGGGCCCCTCAACGGTAGAGATTCCTGCAGAGAGGCGAGAGGACATGGCTGTCGTCTGCCCAGCACTGCAGACCTGAAGCGGATGTCAGAGAGAGAGAGAGAGAGAGAGAGAGAGAGAGAGAGAGAGATACCTTTGGGAGGAGAGGAGAGTGTCTTCGGGGAGCCACCGCTGACCCTCGCTCCGGGGACACGGCCCCTGCGTCCGACCCCCAGGCTCCGTCGGAGGGCTGAGTGGAGTCTACCCAGCTTGTACTCCGCCTCTCGTTTCAGCCCCTCCAGGCGGGCCAGCTCCACTTCCAGGCCCTGGGCACGTCCCTCGGCCGCGCTCAGCCGCAGGCCCAGCTCGGCCCCCTCCGCCTGGGCCTTCTCCAGCTTGATCTCCAGGTTGCGGGCGTCGTCCAGCAGCTTCTTCTCAGTCACTCGGGCTTCCTCCAGGCTCCCCAGCAGCCCCTTCTCCCTCAGGCGAGACTCCTGCTCCAGGTCCATGAGCTTCCGCTGCAGGTTGTGGAGCTGAAAGGAGAGGCCCTTTTGGGTAGAGAGGTGGCCGGGAAGCGGAGAGGCCCCCCCAAAACCCTGCTTGTCCGGCTGAATCCAGACGAGCGCGTCGTAAGGACGCCACGGGCCGTGAGAGCCACCGTCCTTTCTTGGCAATCCAAGGCTGGAGGAAGAGAAGCCCACCTTGGGAGCTGTAGCCCAACTGGAACCAAACTCGGAGAGCAGCCTCACCTCTTTCCGGGCCGACTCCCGGCCGGCCTCGCTCTCCACAATCTTCTGCTTGAGGCCAAAGGATTCCCGCCGGCTCTCCTCCTCCCGCTGCTCGTCAAGGGCAACCCGGGCCTGGAGCTCGGCTACCTCTCTGTTCTTCTTGCTGTTTTCACTGTCCAGCATCTTGACCTGAGAGTAGAGAGTGGGGCCAAGAGGCTTGTGAGGAGGAGAAGGGACAGGGGGAGGGCAGGAAGGAAAGCGGGTCCTCCAAAGGCATTCTGAAGGAGGGAAAGCAGGCAGGCAGGCAGGCTTGCCAGCTGCAGCCTGGACCAAAGCCTACCAAAGGCCCCTTCCCTCCGGATGGATGGAGAGGAAGGCAAAGCAGAACCGAAGGAGTGACTTACGAGGGGATGAGAGAAGGG